GAAGCTAAGCAGGGTCGGGCCCGGTCAGTACCTGGATGGGAGACAAAAACCCACTTTTAAAAGAAAGTGTGTATGTGTGTGTGTGTATCTTTGCTCAGTGCTTTGCATGTAGCCAGAAGGGGACCAAAACACCATTAGGGAAAAGTTTATAAAGTCTTTCTATGTATGTTCAAATTGCAAATTCAAAATATTAATCTTGAAAGAGTTTTTATATGGCTTATATATGAAGCACTTGTATATTGACATTGACATAGATGTGACATACTGCCTAGAAGGTGAGGATGGTATTGAGAGAGATTTTCATAGAATTCCAATATCCAGGATGTAAGCTCCAAGTTTGCATGGAACATAGTGTTCTATGTTTTCATCACTAAAATGTCTCAACCTCTAGAACATTGCATTGTACATAGTGAGTGCTCCGCGAATATTTGTTTAATAAATGAATGGACAATATTTATAAATGATCACCCTACTTATGTCCTAGATTATAAACATGAGAATAGAGGCAGTTGTAAGTTGCTTGTCTGAGGCAGGTGGTGGCAAAAGCCTATTATGTGGGTTCTTCAGGCAGTGGTATTGTCCTTCAATAAACTATTTTACTGTGAAGTGCTAAATTAATAATTAAAGTCAACATGTAACCAGTTATATATCCTAAAAGAGAATTTCCAAACAAACATCTTATATTTTTGTATATTTCCATACATAAACCACGCTATGATTTACAGAATATTTCTACATGAAGTCAGAAAATAAGGTAGTGTCAATATTATTATGCAGATATTTTTATCCACTTAATACACTCTTCATAAATGCCTTCCTTCAGCAGTATGCTAAGCAGGCGGGGTGTAACTGGGTACACAGGATAGTCATGATCACTGTCCCTGGACATTTCTTTTTGTGACAGAATCAAGTAAAACAAAATAAGACAAAGCAAAACCCAAGTAAATGCATACATCAGCAAAATAAATTTGCCTTGTGATAAGTACTTTAAACAAAATAAAGGCAGATTAGGGGGTTGGAGATGAAATGAATTTATAGTTGCAGGGAGCAGATGAGGCAATTTTGAGGAGGCGACATTTAAGCTGAGAGCTGAAAGTTGCAAGTTAAACTTAAGAAGGGACTTCCCCCATTGGGATAAGGTCTACAGAGACACACATGGATGGTTCCGGGAGAGGGGCAGAAGAGGGATCACTACATCATTGATGTACAACGATCGGTAGAGTTGGAAATGCTCGCATCTGATAGCGAATGCCCACTTATGAAAATGTAGACATTCCTTTTCTGTCAAGTAATTATTATGCAGCACTTATATTTTTATATTGTCAACCAACATTTGGAACGTTAAAATAATTGCCTATTATAAAGCAAAGAAATATAATTTTGATAATGCCCAATCAAATACAGTATAATTTCTATAAGTTTGACTATGTTTCTATTTTCTATTTGATTTATTTATTTTATACATGTTTCCCAGGATAGTCCACTGGTCTTACAGTCTGACAGAAATGTAACAGTGAATGCAAGAAATCACATGGGGCAGTTAACTGGACAGCTGACAGTAGGTGAGTGTTTTGGGGTAAAGATTGCTCCTACCATCTTACTGCATTGAAGACTCTGTACTTGTTTTAATTGGGAAAAGTTAAAGTGTGTTATTTCTTTGATCTATAAGTAGACATGACATCCCAATTATCTTGCACATGATTTGATGTGTCATAAGGCTAGCTATGGTTTCCTCTATTTAGTAATTACTTTTATCAATGCCTTATTATGAGACTGAATTACACTTATTTTGCCGTTCATTACTCTTGAATTATGAAATATACCATTTTCCTAACAAGTGTTTCCATAGTATATGTTCAAGTATAGTAAATAAGCTTAAACAAACATATGAGGTGATATAACATCATGAGGTCTATGTATACTTTTTTAGGGAAATAATTTTCTGATAAATATCTGCTTATATAAATAGAAATTTCACTAATTGAGTATAAGAAATATTAATATTTATCAGTTACAAACACGATGGCGAAATTAACAATACTTTAAGTGTATAGGCTTTAGAAGTTATAGATAAAAG